TGAAATAAAGAAGATTTTTCTGTAATACCTTTGTATCTGATTACACTACATAAACTATATTTGTTGCACCAATGGACCTCTAATCGAGGAGTATGTCAGTTCCCTTAAATTAGTCTGGAAGATTATTCCCCCACTTGATACTGAACCCGAAGTCTATATAATCCTAGTTTCTTTAACAGTACAAAAACTGTCAGCTGTTTTCCCATGTGTGTTTTTTAAGAGTGCATGGTTTATTTTACCAATGTGGACAATTAGCTTATGCTTCCATAGCTTTACATTTTAAGAGTCCCACACTGGAGCTCAGATTTTTTGAAGAATTAACTAGTGGGTTTCGAATTTTAAAAAAATTAAATTATTGCCACATTTCGCCCACAAAATACACAAAATCACATCACTCAACAGGATATCCCATGAAGGGTTTTGAGATGACAACAACAAAATTACATTTGTATAGCACCTTTCGCATCGGGAGGACGTCCCAAAGAGCTGGGGAGTCTTGAAGATGTGATAAGGCACTATACCAAATGCAAGGATTATTATTACTGACTAGGAATTTTGATAACCCTTACTAGTAAGGTGAGGTGGCTGGTATTTCTCCTTCAGGAATCTTGAAACAGCCTGTTCCGACACCTGAGATCAGCCTCTGAAAAGTGGCTGGAGTTCTTGACAATTGTGAGGAGGTTCAGTTAATTAAAGTGGAGAGTTCCCATGACACTGTGGCATTGATTCATAATACAGCAGGTCTGCTTTACAACATGAACAGAGCTGGGGGTTTTGCTCCTGATATAGTGCTGAGCTAAAGTTTTGATTAGACTGACATCCCCGTGTGATTTTGCTGAGGCCTCAGCAGAAACCGTAACTGCTGAAAGAAGCCCAGTGAATTGTCAGTCAAAAATGAACTGAGCCAAGGATGGAAAAAAAAATCTATGGTTTGTCAGAGAAAACATTCCCTTTGCAGGTTATTTTGTGCGATAATTTCATTAGTTGCAAAGTGTTTTTTCAAAAAGAAAAATTCACATAATAATAATAACAATCCTTGCATTTGATATAGCATCTTATCACCTCTTTAAGACATCTCAAAGTGCTTCACAGAATATACTGTAAAGTGAATATATTGTATAATTTGTGGGCGGAAACATTTCAAGCGTTTCAGTTTTCTTTGCTGCATATATTGTATCACCGCTTTCATATGGTGACATGGAATTCTAAAGGCTTAGTGATAAGATTGCTTCAGTTATTTACTGTATCATTTGAAATAATTATCTTGCACAATCAGTGGAAGTTACCTGAACCGGCAGTTGTTATGACTAGCAGAAGGTAAAGATGAAGAATCATTTTTCTGCTCACACATGAGATATAACAATGTCCTTTTGGTAAGAATGTCCTTTTGACATATAAATAGGGGCAGAGAGCAAAGTGAATCTCTTGGGAGATCTGTGCTGAAAGGCTTTCAGCTCAGTCTTTTTGTTCTTTACAATGAGCTTCACAATTGCAGTATTCCTCATCACATTCTGTTCTCTCATTAAGAAACAAGATTTTAATGTGTTTTGAAATATCATCTACATGAGTCCTGACTTATAAATAATGGTGTTGGCCAAAGCTGACTGAGCTGCCATCTTGAATTCCCTCTCAGCGAGGCCACTGGTGGAAGTGGATATTCATTTGTTGCTTTACGCTTTCCTTGGTCCATAATGCACCTTCTTCAGGGAACCTAGCAGATAGAAATAAATTCGGAAAAGCTGTTCTCCGCTCTTTGTCAATGCTGCTTATCACAATAATAATCCTTACATTTGGTATGGGGCCTTTCACATCGGAGGCCGTCCCAAACCACTTCACAGGATTTACTGTAAAGTGAGTGTTTTGTGGGCAAAATTACAACATAGGTTCAGATGAAGAATGATCTAGGTTGTTTGGAACAGCCAATTGCCTAGACTGACTAGCAATCCATTTGCCTTTCACCTTTGCTTCTACTTTACTTCTTTTTATGACAACATGGCTGAGAGATTCCTGTCTCTTTGTGTACGAAACTGCAGGAATAAAATCACTGTGATATACTGTAGAAAAGCACAGTCACGATGCAATCGTGCAGCACTGCCCTGTGACCAGAACTTTTACTTTAGTTTGGCTTTTCCAAATTTATTAAGTTAAAATGAGTAACATTTATGCCAAATCTTTGTTTTGAAGATCACTATCAACTGTAACTTTGTGGGTAAATTTGCGACCTTTTAAGCACGCAGTGTGACCATTAGCGCTGCTCTCTCTCCCCACAAATATTTATTGATTGTCAGGCGTGAGCCTGGCCTGATGATCATTAAATATAAACTTGACAAGCTAGACACCTCCTAATCTGCCTTGAAGATTCATATGTCAATTAATAGATGTTTTGGGGGAATGTACGGTATTCGACTGTGAACAAACTGAGAAGGTTGCAATGAGGCTTCCAGACGAGGAAGGCATCTTTGCAAATTGCAAAATTATGTTTGGCCTGTAAGAAAACCTTTATGGTGTTAACATTGTTCCAACAATGAGAGTTCCTAGAAGCAGAACACATGTATCACACATGTGCCACAGTATACAGAGACTTTTGGTTAAAGTACTTTTGAATGCTCTGATGATAAAGTTCTTTGGGATCAGGTCCAGTACACCTTCACAAGGTCTGAGCATACCCAATTGGATATTCCAATACTCTCACAAAAAAATCTGGGACATATAGAAGAACCAAAGGCATTCACACCTTTTTCTGGAAAGTTTAAGGACCATAAGGGGAAAAATGTCCAAACTATTCAGTGGTGCGCAGACTATAACCTTATGTCAACCTGGCAGCCGGGAAGGCTAAGTAAGTGAAGGTCAGTAGGTTTCACATTTCAAGGAGTGGATGGCAAATGCATAGATAAGGGGAGACAGATGGAAAAGGTTATTGCCTTAATTCAACAGCATTTTGTCCACACTTATCTGTCTAGGCACTTGGATTAGAGCAACAGATCTAAACAATGTTTGCTTTCAATGTGCCTATGTTGGGAACACAACTTTTTTTTAGCAAACACTGAATGTTTGACTCTATTTTGTTAAAGTTAGCATTCACCCCACTGTCCCTACTGTAACTCATTCTTTCCCAGTACCTCAGGATAAGTCAACAACTTGGGTCCCTTGGACTTCCCTTCCTCAAATAAACAAGAGGCTTTTAAAACTCAAGCTTTGCATCCCTTCACCACTTCTTGAATATCTCCACTACTCTTTAACCTAGTTGGCGTTCTGCAATAAAAAAACACATCCATTCATATGGGATCTTGATTTAAACAAATAAAGATTTCAGTTGGATAAAATCATAGTATCATCTTTTCAAATAAATAGAAGAACACTGTCATTTTTGTCCGTCTACAACATATACTGTGACTACACTTTGCAGGAAATCCTGTGAAGCGCTTTGAGATGTCCTTCAGACTTGAAAGGTGATATGTCTGCAAATGCAAGGATTAGCATTATTATTTTTGTCCATGTCAATAATATGCAGATAGAACTTAAAGAGAAGAAAGCCCCTTGTCTGTTTATCCCATGAAAACAAAAGTTGTTGAAACAAAAGATGGAGCATAATAATAATAATCCTTACATTTGATGTAGCGCTTTTCATGTCTTCTAGACGTCTCAAAGCGCTTCACAAAATATACTGTAAAGTGAATTGACTGTATATTTGTGGGCGAAACATGGCAGCCAATTGCGCACAGCAGTGTCCCACAAACAGTCGTGGATTGAAGTGAACAATTTTATTGTTTTTCTTTCTTGAGGGATTATTATCAGGCATGTGGAGTAAGGAAACTTGCCCAAGGTTTTGCTCTGTTGAGAATTGAACCCAGGTCTCTCACTTGTGAGGCGAGTTCTCTAACCACTGAGCTACAGGACTCCAAATCCTGCAACCCACACTCTCACCAACCATAACTCAGCTTTATGAAGAAGAATTCTTGCATTTGATACAGCACTTTATCATGTTGTTAAAACATCTCAAAGTGCTTCAAATGATTTACTGGAAAGTGTAGTGACTGTGTATTTGAAGTCAAACATGGTATCCTATTTGCGCACAGCAGTGTCCCACAAACAGCTATGACATGAATGACCAATTTTGACTAGTTTCATTGCAAAGAAGATATACAGTTTGCAGTTCTTTCTTTACTTTCTTGAGTTCCTCAGTAAAGGTGATTTGCTCTTGAAAGTTACAACACTGAGTTACGTTAAATAGTTGTGTCTTTGCATGATCACCAGTGCATTTGAAATCTTGTTTAAATCCTGATATGGAGAGAATAAGAAATGAAAATTAGGTGTAGATAAGTTACTTTGGGTATAGTATTCCTCATCTTTCAAATATAACTATTTATAAAGCTAACCGAATTTCTATCCTATTTGAACTTTGGATTTTGATACTTGTGTAAGATACATGCATACTCTTTTCAGCATAATTACAGACATAAAAAGTTATGTAGGTTTAAATTCTGTGGTAGGGATTTTAGGAGAGAGTTTCAGAGGTTGTAGTGGCTAAAGATTTGGCCAGCAATGATGGGATGAGGAGAGAGTGCAGAACAGGCAGTAGACTATAGAACCATATAAATGTGAAACACAGGTCTCATTTTATAGACCCAAACCACCACTTAATAATGGAGTTTGACTTTAGATGGAAGGTGATTTTTCACATTAATGTAAATCATCTAGTTGGTGACAATGAGATCATTTTGAGGAGCAATTAACATTTTTTTTGGTTAGCTGGGTGTCTGACCCACATGCGGAAACCCATCACCATGCTTAAAAGCATCCAAATCAAGCTGAGATTTCCATGCATCACACCTACACATGGAAACCCCAGATTGTTGGAATGGAATTGTGATCTTTATTACGACTGAATATGCACACATAATGTGAAGGATTTATTTGCAATTTGTATGACACTTTGTGCAGAAAAGAAAAGGTCTAATTGACAGTACTTAGGGATTAAACTCTTTTATTTCCTTTCACAGGAAATGGCAAAAATCCTCATTCATCCCAGGGTGTATGCCTTCCTTCATGTACCAGTTCAAACTGGTTCAGATAGCGTTCTTATGGATATGAAAAGAGAATACTGTGTGGCAGACTTTAAAAGGGTGGCAGATTTCTTGAAGGAAAAGTAAGTACTATCACCTAGTTTCTTCAAAGTCAAGTATGTATTTGCCCAGAATGTCACATTAGCATTAGAGTTTCAAAAAGGTGAAGTAGCTCATCAAAAATAATTGATGTGGTTTTTAACCACTCCTCTTTGTTAAATAGTTGTTCCGTCTTTGCATGATCGCCAGTGCATTTGAAATCTTGTCTAAATGCTTAAGTGCACACTATGTTTAATACCTAACCTATATTGTATATTTGAAGTTGGATGTTTAGCTGCTGTTTCTTTTCATGTGGTTTTCCTCCAGCCAGTCCTGCTTAATTTGTATCCGAAAAGTTTCCAAGTTGTGATAACCCAGTGAATCAACATTTTTTCAGAGTATATTTTGGTCTCAGTATAATACCTTTAAGTATTTAATTTAATCCTTGTGCTTTAGTCTATGAATTGTGACTGATACAATGAAACGTAATCACTCCCTTTGAGCATGAAACTGATTTAAACATTCTGTGTCAAATTGTTCAACAGAAAACATTGTCCTTGGATGCACAAAGGAGTTTGGATGCTTCCATTTTTATAACATTTGTACATGCATATTCATTGCAGCATAATTACAGAGCAAGGAGATGCAATTAGAAAGTAAAGCAACTAAAATAAGAAATGAATAGAACTTATAGAGTAACTCCTTTACTCTTGGAGTGGATTTGTTTGCCATGAGTGCTGTTAGTGAAGGTTCAGATTTAGCATTCGGAAGTGATTCCGATTCAGCAGGATGTAGGTAGATTTGAGCCACATACTATGTGTTAAGGTAGGAGGCAGGTGAAAGTTTTTTTATATATATACAATATCTACATATGATTATTTAGTAATCCAATGAGCAAAAAGAAATACAACACCTTTACTAATTTCTATGAAGAGAAATTATAAGTAAACTTCTCTTAAAACTGCACTATTCCAGTTACCTTAGATTCCTTAACTGAGGTGGCATAAATTGTTAAAGAGAAAAGTTTGTTGAAAGATAAATCACAGTTAACGACAACTCTTTCCTTAAACCACGCCACAAAGATGCATCTTCCCTTCACTTTTATACTCGGGATGCTTCCTCCAACAATGACGACAATGTTGTCTCTGGAAATAAGATACCCAAGTGTAAGAGTAACACAGTGGAACCTCACTGCAGTACCACAGTGATTACATCACAAGTGTGACAAGATTTTCAGAATCCATTCATAAAATGACTTGCATATTATTGATTGCTCAATACATAAATAAATAATGTACGAAACAAAATGAGAGAGAAGTCTTGACCTTGCTCAGCTTTGTGCAATGACTTTACCATGAATGTTTTCTTTACAAGATTTATTTATATTTTACTGTTAGTAATTTATTTATCTGAATGAGCCTGTTAACAATCTAATGAGTTTGCCAGGATCATGGGTTAATTAACGTTGAGTGGGTGAGATTGAGGCCACAAATACAATGACAGGTGGAGAAGCAACAAGCATCTTTACCTTCTCTGTACTGTGCCATTGTGAAGGCAAGTGATATAGACCACATTCCCTCTATTCAGTTGCATTTAGCATGCTATTGAGCTACTTCCTGGCAGCACATTCTGGAGTGTGAATCATGTCATATTAAGGTCAACATTAGTTTGGAAGCAAGATTTCTAAATTAAAGTAATGTACATTAAAGTCTTGCCATGTATTTACTTTACCGTGTTGCTGGTGTTGGCAGCTGAGCAGTAGCAAAGCTACAATGCAATTAATGACAATCATGCGAATAGTGCTTGTGTATTGATACATTAGCACAGGTTGAGGATCTCAATTTCAGAACAGGCACCAGGAAATCTCTCTTGACCAGAAGATGCTGAAACAGGTTACCAGGAAGGGTGTTTGAAGCTAAAACACTTGATATGTTTAAGAACTGCCCTGAATTCTGTAAGGTAGGTATTGTAGAAGAATGATAACAAATGGTCAGAAGGGTTTTACTCATCTGAACCCCTCTTGTGATCTTGTGATTGTGCTCAACGAGGTTGAGGACTTGTCTACCCTTCAATTCTCACTGATGCACCAGACTGTCTGGTCAGCAACCATTCTGGATGACTGAAGATCTACGGATTTTTGGCCAGTTCAATTTAGCTCCCAAAATATTTTCTCTCTCCTCCCTACTCTCTCAGTATTTTCTCCCTAAAGAGGATTTTGTTTGGCATTTGTTTTATCAACCACAGAACAACAAGATTACATTTGTATAGCTCCTTTCACATTGGGAGGACGTCCCAAGGCGCTGAACAGAGTACAGCATTTCAGACCCGAGCTGGGTCGGGGGGGAAGAAGGGAGGGACGGGGAAGGGGAGTGGCCGATGGCATGGTCGAAGAGGAGGGTTTTGAGGCGGGACTTGAAGGAGGCTAAGGTGATGGTGAGGCGGAGTGATTGAAGAATGGAATTCCAGAGGTTGGAGGCAGAGTGGCTGAAGGCTCTCCCGCCAATGGTGGGGCGGTTGGGTTGGGGGATGTGGAGCAGGCCGGAGCCGGCTGAGCGGAGGGAGCGGGCGGGTTGGCAGGGGGTTAGGAGGTCGCAGAGGTAGGGTGGGGCGAGGCCATGGAGGGCTTTGTAGGTTTGGACCAGGATCTTGAACTGGATTCTCTGAAGGATAGGGAGCCAATGGAGTCGGGGGAGATGAGGTCATGGAGTTTGGTGTGGGAGAGGACACGAGCTGCAGAGTTCTGGATTATCTGCAGCCTGTGGAGGGAGGGGTTGGGAAGGCCGACAAGCAGGGAGTTTGCATAGTCAAGCCTGGAGGTGATGAAGGCATGAACAAGAGTTTCAGTGGCTTGAGGATGAGGTTGTGGCGGAGTCGGGCGATATTATGGAGGTGAAGGAATTCACAGCAGGTCATGGCTTGGATGTGGGGAAGAAAAGACAGTTGAGGGTCGAACAAGACACCAAGGTTCCTGACTGACTTGGTGAGTTGTAGTGTGCAACCATGGAGGCTGATGTTGCCAGAACCTGAGGTGCTGAGGCGCTGGCGCGAGCCGATCAGGAGAGTCTCAGTCTGGTTCACATTCAACTGTAGGAAATTTGCCCTCATCCAGGACTTGATGTCCAACAGACTGTCAGGACAGCAGTGGTCCTGGAGTTGAGGGTGGGGGCAGAAAGATAGAGTTGGGTGTCATCCGCATATATATGGAAGTTGACCCCATGTCTGCAGATGTTGTCACCAAAGGGAAGCATGTAGATATTAAAGAGGAGAGGGCCAAGGACAGAGCCCTGGGGGACACCAGACGTGAGAATTGTGAGGAATTAAACCCACAAAGTTGCTGGTGCTGTGAAGGTACTGAGAGTTGTTTGCACTTGGGAGAGCCAGCAGTGCTAGGAGGTGCAAGGTAAAGATTGGCTCCCATTGCCCCCATAGTCCTGGTAACTACTCTGTTCTGGCTGCAGGCACACTGATCTCTCAGTTCATATCACTCATAGTCTATGCAGGTCAAGGCTGGAGTCCTTGAGTTGTGGTACAAATCTTCTTTTAAATAATCAGATATGAAAATTGTAGCTTTCAAACAACTTCACGTGGATGAATTTGGCTTCAGTGTTGAGACCCTTTAGCATATTGAAGCATAGACATTTACAGCACTTCTACTATTTGAAGAGCTCCTGTAAAATAAGTGCATCCAAAGCCCATTTGCATTGCCTGTACTCATGTAACATTTACATTTTCTATCCAGTGTGAAACCCATTGCTGTCCCCCAAGGGTAACAGAGTTAAAATGCAATACCAGTTGGTTGCTTTACTCCCTGCTGTCCATCTGCACGCTAAATCCACCAGCTAATGAAATCAAATGCAAGAACAAAGGATGGGTAAATGACAGAAGAATAATTTACCAGTTAGCAGTGTACAGTTCAGCAGCATACTAAAGAGGCTGTTCACAATCCTGAACCACAGAATGACATAGAAACCTCCCTTAGATAGCGAGGTTCAAGACTCCAAACTCATGAGACTTTTTAGTGCTCCAGAATCATAAATAAGACTGCTGATGCCAGTTGTTTGTCGCCAGCCATGTGGCCCTGTAGAAAGCAACCACTAATCAAAGTGATGTCCCATACATTAATAATCTTTACAAATTAGTTAAATTGAGAAGCTCAAAATGGGTTAATGTGCATACCTCACTGTGGTGTTCTGCTCTGCAGCAAATGTGTGCACTGAGGTTGAAGCTGGGTTGAATATTCTGGTAGAAATATAATACCCAAAGGTAAAACACTGGTGTTTGTGTTTGGAGATGTCAGTCATACAGGGAGGAGGAGCAGATTAATAAGATCTATGGTTGCAGTGACATTGTGTCCTAACAGACCTGTACCTGAGAGATTACATTCATTACTTGATTTTCCAGTAGTTGCTGCATTTAGAATTCTGTCCTTACTTCGTTTTCAGTATAGCCCTGATTGATCTTCTGTCTACCGGGATTACTGCAGTTGGATGCGCTCCATCCCATCAGTTGATAATTTTCTCTTAAAACCATCGTGACGATGACCATAAAAGAAGGTGGTTGTTCCAAATATAGCTGTGCACATCCTTTTACCTGTGGGAGGATGGATGTGGTTCAAATCATCCCCATCATCGATTGACATCTCAGAATGTAAGACAGTGTAAACTAGTCTTAAGATTGTAAACCAATCAATTTGTAAGAGAAACTGATTACTGTGATTCAGAAATATAATTTAAGGCTATTATTTCTATTTGAATTCTGAATTAGAATTGTCACAAAGCAGCAACAATCCTTCGTCTGCTGCGAATCTCCCATCATAGAAGATTCTCAGTGAACAACACTGAATCTGTTGGGTTTCCACCTAATTGGTGAAGTGTGATTTAAAAATATTATTGCTATTTATTTTTTAAAAATCATAGAGATCTGTGGGATTGTGAGGTGAAATAATAGAAAGAAGAGGGCGAACAACACTGTCTAAGACTACTAAATCAGTCTGTAGCTACATTAACAATTAGGTGGTCAGTTAAACCTTTTTGATTATTTAGCC